CTGCGTCCCAATGTGCATACTATCCATCCTAAATTCTATGTGATATTAGTAATTTTCAATACTATTTAGGGCAGACAGGCTGGATAGTATGCACATTGGGATGCAGGGAAAGTGTCCATAATAGGCGGTTGAATAACTGGCTCACTTTATAAGTTAAAAAACTGATTAATTCAAGGAACGAAACACCATGTTACTATGCACTGTTGTATAAAATTAATAGCACATTTGTGCTCGCGCATGTAGGCCTTGTAGGTATTTTTTCTTTAATTGCTTGAATTATAAGGTTATTTTACAATAGGCTTCATAGGCTTCATTGCGCAGTGAATGCTTTTGGACTCTCAAGACGTGTTTTTGTTTGGTTTTTATGACTCGATTGACTCGAGAATGTCAGCTCTACTATCGCCTCTCAATCCCTCACAGTCACATACAGCACAATAACATAATGTCGGGGAATGTCTTTAAATTATAATCAAGGAAAAATACCTTTTATGTTGTCTTCTTTTTAAAGAACTTCAAAAGTTGCGTCTGAACCATTTTGCGCGGGAAATGACGAAAACTTGCTTCCGCTTGTGAGCAGCTTGTTACAGTCAGCCATTTACTGGTTAAAAAGTTTGGGATGCCTGAAGAACAATTAACACTTAAAACTTCTAGAATTCTGAAGTTATATTTTTCATTTTAATTATTTTAAATAGACTACTAATTTCTGAAAATTAAAGGGGTCATCGGATGCTACATGCACTTTTACATGTTGTTTGAACTGAAATGTGTGTTGGCAGTGTGTGTAAACAACCACCCTATAATGATAAAGAATCCACCCAGTGTTTTTTTTTTTTTTATCTGGTTAAATGTTTTCCCCTTTCTGAAATAGAGCCGATCTCAGATGCCTGTCTGGCCCCTCCCACGATAGTTTGATTGACAATAGCGTTTCAGACTGGACTGGTGCAGAGCCATAGAAAGAGAGAGTTGCTCAAAATCCAAACCAAAGTCCAAAACGCTCGATCGTCACGTGATTCACGTAGACCTCAAATGCGAAATGCAGCTGGAGGGCAGGAAGTGATTTTTCTCTCCATAGGAATCAATAGTAGAAACTCCAAATGCTTGTGTTTTGCGTTGTTTATGGATGCTCAAATTGGCCAAACCGAGAAACCACAAGGAGCTTTTATCGTGTACGAAAATGTGTTGTTCAAAAGTGGGGAAAAGTCAAGAAATTGATTGAAAAACGCAACACGTAGACCTCAAATAGTTCCAGGAAGTTCATAGCGGGCAATAGGTTGTTTGCACATGACGTCACTAATGACGCGCGAAATGCAGCTGGAGGGCAAGAAGTGATTTTTCTCTCCAAAGGAGTGACTGAAAAAGAACGGATGAGATACAGGAAAGTCGGTAATGTAGGCTACTGTTTTAGGCATGATGCATTTATATATATATATATAGGCTATAGACTATAGCGCTTTCATTTGATTGCTGCACACCCAACGCGCCTTACAATCGTATGAGGGGATCTCTGGGTCATATGATGCTTTTTTAAAGATCATTATTTTGTGTATTTGGTGTAACAGAATATGTTGACATGCTTTAATGTTCAAAAAACACATTATTTTTCATCCTCTTGATCTACAGTCCTTTAGTGTAGACTCCGACCCACTACAGGCCACATTATCCATCCAGACTGGTCCTGATCCTGGTCCAAACCGACTCAGAGCATCTATAGGTTCTCCACAGTCCAGCTCTCTACACACAACTGCAGCATCAGCCAAAGATGTAAAAAAGTTAGTAAATACAAACATTTATAGATATTTCAAGATGGATGAGATAACATTACAGATAATCCTGTCATCATTAAATTGTTAGACTGTAAAATCCCAAATTTTTTATAAAATTGAATTGATAATTATTGAACTATTGTCATAAGATACAGTTTCTAGATATTATACAGGCATCTATTCAATTTGTAGTAATATGAGGCTATCATAGATAAAGTGGCTCATTTAAACATGTATAATTTCATATCTTATTGTCTATTTTGTACTTACCAGATGTGGTTATAGTGATTATGGAGGAGAGTAAAACGAGTGTCAGACATCCCTCCATCTTCTGCTCATCACACCAAGTTTGTCCTCTGCTCCTCAAACACACTGAAGAAACTGGCTCCTGTCAGCCCCCTAACGAGAGGGAGAGACTCACAGCTGCCAATGACACTCATTCTTACCTTATTAGACACAACAGAGGAAATCATCAAACACAATCAGTGACAAAGCAGAAAGCAGCATTTTTATTTTCTCCATATATATCAATAAAGTGTGAGCGCTGATGAGCGGGACTCCTCCTCCAGCGTGAAGAGACACTTCACTGAGGACAGACTCGTGTCAGTCATAAGTCAGTGTGGAGATAAAGTCACACTAAACTTAAAGCAGATTGATACAGAAACACTGCAGCTTATATTCAGCATCAAACCTGAACCTGAACACAGCAGATACAAGCACTGATGACTGACCGCTCACTTCAGACACTTAACACTTTACTTCACACCCAAAAACTGTTTGGCATTTGTGATGCATATATAAATTATAATAACTGAATAAATTGTATTATTTATTATCATTTATTTATTATTAATAATTATTATTATTAAATAATAATTATTTATTATTTTATAATAAATTTGGGACTACAGTTCTTATGTATTTATATTTTCACTATACTGTTATAATGTTCTAACCAAGAGCACAGTATGTTAATACATTATAAAATGAACAGGACTCTTTGTGTACACAAATAAAGGTCTATTCAGACAACATTTGTAAATAAATATTGGTTTCTATTCCAAAGATATATTAATTTGGCATTATATCAAAGACATACAGGTGCATCGCAATAAATTAGAATGTCGTGGAAAA